GGTAAGGCTTGAAGTTTTGGGGTTTAGGGTTTAGGGTTTAGGGTTTAGGGGTTTAGGGTTTAGGGTTTAGGGTTTAGGGTTTAGGGTTTAGGGTTTAGGGTTTAGGGTTTAGGGTTTAGGGTTAGGGTTTATAAGGTTCGGGGTCTGGGGTCTTTGGGCCAAGCTGCCAGGCCCAAAGGAGGAAGGCGCAAAGCATCAAGAAGGCCAGTCCTGCTAGAGTTGTATATGCGGCTTTTGGGATTTATGGTGGTTTAGGGTTTAGGGTTGAGGATTTCCTCGTAAATCATTTGGCTTCTTGACGATTTGCTGCTCTTGCACAGTCCTACGAGTCCTACTCATCTACCTTTTCGACGGACATAGGGCTTGATGTTCTGCCTGCAGGCGAATTGCATCCTGGGGGGCCACAATTCCATCTGTACAACCCTACATGCCTAAATTGACCAAACTTTGAAGCTCATAAGGCAAGAGCTTCGCGAGCCATCCGAACACCTTGTCAGAGATTCGACAGCGGTGCCCCTAAACCCAAACACCCTAAACTCAACATCCTAAACCCTATAAAGCCTAAGCACAAAACCGTAAACCCTAAACCCTAAACCCTAAACCCCTAAACAACGGATTCGAGTTCAAGGGCCTAGGAATGGACTTCTTGGGGGGCCGGTACTAATTAGGACCAGGGCTCCTTGAAAGGGTTCTAGAAGGCTTTCTAAAAGATTCTGCGATATAGGGGCCTGAATAAATCCAATCGGTTCTGCCGTGTACATGCTATCACAAGTTTTTTTAAGGGACTATACTAAACCCTAAACCCTAAACCCTAAACTATATGAGAATACTATCAACTGCTCAGGCTTCTAGATGAGTGTAAGAGTCGCAAGCCTTGCGAAGGGGGAGCTGCCGGGCACAAATTGACGACTGTTATCCTTATTAAGGTTTAGGGTTTAGGGTTTAGGGTTTAGGCTATTCTTCCTTGCAGTTCGTTATTACACTTATACACACTCATACTAGGATATGTCGTCATTCAACTTTCAACCAGGTTCACGCCAACACTTTCCGTCTTGGCATAGCTACCCACCGGCGAGCCAGCGGCAGAACAGAGCGGATGACTACTAGGGTCAAACTTGAAAGCAGCTCACAAGCAAAGCCTAAACCCTAAACCAGACCACTTTGAACCCCAAACACCTGAACAAAACCCTCAACCCTAAACTCCTAAACCAGACCACCTTAAACCCTACACACCCTAAACCCTAAACTCCTAAACCAGACCACCTTAAACCCTACACCCTAAACCCTAAACCTTAAACCCTAAACCAGACCACCTTAAACCCTAAACCCTAAACCCTAAATCCTAAGCCTTAAACCCTAAACATCCCTAAACCAGACCACCCAAAAACCCTAAAACCCTACACCCGAAACCTTAAACCCTACACCCTAAACACTACATCCTAAGCCCGCATCTGCGAGTTCCCCCCTCCTGGCCTTCCGCCAAAGGCTGCTTGGCCCGGAGGTCTACCTGCGCGGTGCACCTGGGCTGCTAGCGTTTAGGGTTTGGGGTTTAGGGTTTAGGGCTTAGGGTTTAGGGTTTAAGGTTTAGGATTGAGGGACCCCAAACCCATTTTTCCGCGATTCTGCGGCGGGACTACAAGAAAGAATCCTTGGAAAGATGTTCTTAAGGCTTGAGGACATGTTCAGAATTGGGGCGTGGCTTTACCATTTGTTGCTTTAATTGGCGGGTCTTTTCCAAAACGGCAGCATAAGAGCCTCAAGCCCTAAACCCTAAACCCCTAAACCCTAGACCCTATAAACCCTAAACCCCTAAACCCTAAACCCTACCCTAAGGCTCTTATTGCTGTTATGGGCTTTCTAGAAAAAGGATTGGGCTTGGGGGCTAATTAAGGTTTGGGCTTTCACCAAAACCCTAAACCCTAAACCCGGGGTCCAGGAGCCTTAGGGTGAACCCTAACTCGATCCAGATCCAGGCCGCAAGCGCTCCCAAATGAGCTTCTGCAAGGGCCGTGTCCTCCAAAGCCTTGCCAGCGGGGAAGTAGTTTAGGGTTTAGGGTTTTGGGAGTTTAGGGTTTAGGGTTTTGGGAGTTTAGGGTTTTAGGGTTTAGGGTTTAGGGGTTTTGGGAGTTTAGGGTTTAGGGGTTTTGGGAGTTTAGGGTTTTAGGGTTTAGGGTTTAGGGGTGTAGGGTTTAGGGTTTAGGGCTTAGGGTTTAGGGTTGCGGGAAGTTGCGGGTCCAGGCAAAGGAACGTGTCGCCGTTCAAGTCGGCTTCAGGTCCGCAGTTGCTGAGTTCATAAAGCCCAAAACGGGTACACTTTCAGTTCTATAAGGGATGGGATTATCCCCAAAGTGAAAAATGTACGCACTCAGCTACTAAGGGTAGGGTTTAGGGTTTAGGGTTTACGGTTTAGGGTGTAGGGTTTAGGGTTTAGGGTTTAGGGTTTAGACACTGTTGCTGCAGCAGGGTTGTGGCTCTGCGGAGGGGCCTTCAGATTTGAGCTTTGAGTCATATAGAGGCAGTCAATTATTCGAATTGGGCTCCTTTAAAGGGTTCCTGAAAGGGTCTTTAAAAAGTCTATAAGGGCTGCTATAAGGGTTTAGGGTTTAGGGTTTAGGGGCCTTAATAGTTAGAATGGGGTTTGGGGTTATATATCATACTATCAATATAATAAGGAACCCCAAGATAATATTGGTACTTATAAGGCCCTTATAATACAGACTTGTTGATGTTTTACGGTGCAGGCTCGGGCCGGGGGTCTGTAAAGTGGCTCGAAAACTGCACTCCCCAAACTCAGAACACCAAGACACTAAAGCCCCACCGCCCTGCAAAGTCCTAAAGTTGAAACGCGAATACTAAACCCAAACCCGCAAAACACCCCCAACTCACCCAAATTGAACACAGACACAGGAAGAGTCGATGCCCACAACAGCTGCAAACCATAAAACTCTAAACATCTCTATAGACTCTAAACCTTCCATCTAAGGTAGAACCCATGGGCCCCTAGTATGGGCCCTTAACCCTGGGACCCTAATATAGCTACTATATACCCTATATATACTCTTAAGGGACCCTAGAATCCCCTAAGGGCCCATGTTAGGGGCCCATGGGTTCAGCTTTAGATTCCAACCGAGCCACTCTGAGATCTCTATCGGCTCGTGGCCTTCCAGGCTGCCAATGCCTCAGCTCGCGTGTCTTCACCCCCCCAGGGGACCCCATGCCAATCGTGCCCACAGGGCTCTGCGCGGTTCCGTGAGTGTGCTTTTTGGAGTCACGGTTTGGGGTTTAGGGTTCTAGGTTTTTAGAGTCAGGGTTTGGGGTTTAGGGTGTTGAGGTTTAAAGCATTTCGATGTATTGATTAGGGATGAAGGTTTAGGGCTTTGGGGGGCTGTCGGGATTTGCAGGAGTTGGGATTTACGGCTGAGAGTTCAGTTCCCCAAACCCTAAACCCGCTACCCTAAACCTTAGAACCCCTAAACCCTAAACGCTAAACCCGAGCTCAGTTCCAGGAAGTTAGGGCTTTGGGCTCTAGGGCTTTGCTTGCCTCAGGGCTACAAGCAGGATTAGGATTTAGGGTTTATATAGGGTTTAGATTACTTTTTGCAGACTTTACCCAAGTAGGCACCCTGTGCAAGTATGTGGCTCTTTTCGGCGTGCGTCTGGAAAGGGATGGATCGCGGGGTCCAGGACTCAGGCGATCAAGGGTTCAGGGTGTAGGGGTTCTGAGGGGTAAGGCTAAGCAAAAAGGTTTCCGGGTTCAGCGTACAAGGGCTGACAGGCTTCTCGGGCTTACCAAAGCCAATACTTGCGGGGACTGTGTAATACTATTCCTTAAGGTAATGCAGGATTTGTATCATCAACAGTACTATCGCGTCTTGCGGCTAGCCGACCAGCCCCAGCCTTTCTAACTGAAAGCCGCCTGACCCGACAGCCCATTACCCCTCCAGAGTAGAAGTCATAAAACTGGAACAATATAATCCTCATGTATCAGGAACCCTACTGTTGATGATGTAAATCCTGCATTACCTTTGAGGACCTTAAACTATGGGAATTATGGTGTCTTCCTTATGATGGGCAATGCAGGATTTATATCCTCAGCCGTAGCACGAATCATCCTAAACCCATGTTCCAAATTTCCGGGGCTCGCTATAATAAAAAATAATAAGCCCTTGGAAATGTTCAGCTCCTGGGGTGCTGGGTTTAGGCGCTAAGATTTAGGGCTTAAGGTTCATGGGTTCGGGGTTTAGTGTGTAGGGCTCAAAGGGTTTAGGGGCTATCAGGTTTAGAGTTTAGGGCTTAGGGCTTGCAATTTATAGGGTCCCAAAAAAGCACGTAAGCAAAAAAACTGGATAGGGATATCCCATATAAACCCCCTTATAATGAAGCCCAATAAGGTAAGGCTATCCCTATAAAATGCTTATGCTTGTGTCCTTGTTAGATTGATAAACTTAGAGGCTTGGCCCTGATCTAAACTCGTACGGACGCGGCGCGGCAGCGACGTAGAACCTCTGCGGCCCTGCTGGAAGGAGCATGATGCGACAGGAAGAGGTCCTGTGCAAGGGGCGATGGGGTTTGTAGGACTTAAGCAGCTCTACACAAGGGTTTGGGGCTGCGAAGCTTTGGGCTCTTATGGGGTTGGGATTTGAGGTTTCAGTGTGTGGATATAAATTTTTTGGGGATTCAAGGTTGCTTACGAGTTACGGTCGTAGCGGATTCGGTGTGTGACGATCGCTACTTGAGGCCCCTTTGCTGGCCTCGCCCTGAAACCCGAACCCCGAAAAGAACAAACAAGCTTCCCTAAGGGTCCAAAGTACCTATAAGGGTTTAGGGTTTATATAGTAGAGTGTAGGGTCTCTATATATTCTAAATTAGGAACACTTGGTATGAACTGGGGAAAGTCTCCCCCGTAACAGTACCTACGACCCTGTGGGCTTTACAGTTGGGCCACAGACTCTGTATGCCTCAAGCCGTAGAGATACGATCGTTGCTGTTTATGCCCTGAATGTCATGTAGGGTGCTTACCACATAACAATCCTCCAAAAGGGAACCCTAAAACTACGAATACCAGAATTCAAAGAGGCCCATAAACGCTCACCAAAACCTTACCAACCTCTGTGCCCTGAAACGCTTCTGACAAAAATGCGGAAAACACCCTATAACCTTGTTGTGTACTCTAGACCCATAAACTCCAGCCACAAATGAAACAAGACTTAAGACTTAAGACTTTAAGACGACCCACTAAATAAACCCTAAACCCTAAGCCGGAGCTATCCCAGGGAAGCTCGGGGAGGTCCGTGGCATCTTCTCCAATGGCGCGGCGGATCAGAGGACCGCCTTTTCAGAAAGCTCCGTGGGCGGGGGCCCGAAAACTAAACCCTAAACCCTTAGAGGGTTTACCCTAAGGCTCATGGACCCTCATAGTGAAAGCCCAAACCTTAGCCCCCAAAGCCCAAACCTTCCCCTAGAAAGCCCATAACAGCAAGAAGAGCCCTAGGGCAGGATTTGAGACTGGAGTTTAGAGTTTCTTCGGTTTGCGAGTTTGGGATTTTGGATTTTTTCGGAAGCTGGGGATTTCGAGTTCAGATCTAGGCTGTAGAGTTTTAAGGCTTGGGGTTCAGAGGTCAGGGTTGGGGTTTTTTGCGGGGTTCAAGGGTTATTTAAGGGTTTGGGGTATAGGGTGTGGGGTTTGAAGTTGGGAAACCTCTTCGCTTTAATTTTCTGTATCTGTACTGTTGAGCCCCAACTTCTTGAACTGCTCCGACCCTAAACCCTAAACCCTAAACCCTAAACCCTAAACCCTAAACCCTAAACCCGACAACCTAGAGCCTCTAAGCAGAAGTCCGGGAACCTAGCATGCGTGAAGCTCCCGCAGATGAAGGAGTCGGTAGTTCGATCACTCATGTTTCTTGGCTGACTTCTAAACCCCTCCTACAAGTTCAATTTTTAGAGTTTAGGGTTTAGGGTTATTCTAGTTCATATAAAAAATACAAAACCAAAAACAACTAAAGTCCTATAAGAGCCAACCAGAAGAACGGCAAGTCTTTCTCGACTTAGGGTCTTGGCTGGGGCTCTATAAACACGGTTCAGGGTTTTAGGGCTTAGGGTTTTACGGTTTAGGGTTTAGGGCCTCGCCCCCATGCCTGGATGATGCGGGATGAAGTCGCCAAGCTCCAGAACCTGTGCAAGAAGTTCACTTACCTGGTCCCCTGTTGGGGCTAGATGGAACATGTTCGTTTTTAATCCCTATTGGGTATTTTATTGTAGCAAAAATGTCAAAGTGTATGACAAAGACCCAGTTAAGCCCAGGAATCTTGAGCGTCATTTTCCTTTCGGACATGTACGTTGGGATGCTGCAGTACATGTCGGCAAGCGGCTGCTTATCCGATGAGCAACATTTTGGCCATGGAGAAGTATCATGTGAAACTTGAACGCAGAGCTGGTGCATGTGCCAAGAGATGAGCTTCTTCTGCATCAAAAAGGAACGGGTCGTCCATTAGTTCCTCCTGCAAGCAGGTTGAGTTGATGATTTCAGAGTTCTGCACCAGAGCAAGCTGATCATGGCAAGCTGGCATGATCCGATCGTTTCTCTGCTTGAGCAAGTCCACGCCCAAACGGATCCAGTGGATGGCCTCATCAGCTTTCCGTCTGAGAGTCTTCCCTCCCATAATAAACATGGCCTTGCTTCGCGAAGGATCATCCGATGAAAGGTGGAGCGTTTTGTAGAACCAAGGTTTTGCTTCTGTCAAGTTTCCGGCACGCAACAGAGCCTCCATGTACCTCATGAACACAGCTCGAGAGGTGCTTCTCAACAGTGGCATGTCCGCAACACTCTCAGCTTCCGGAAGAAGGTAAAACAGCATCTGCATTGCTACCTTGAGGTCTCCAGATGCCATTTCACAATCAGCGATTTCCTGCAAAGCAGGGAGCCGAATGTCTTGAGGTACGCTTGAGTGGTGCAGGGTACGCAAAGTGTTGAGGGCATCCGCGTCCCACGTCTTCCGCTGGCCACTCACTATTTGTCTCCAAGCCTGCAAGTTGCTTGTCGCAGCTGCACGAAGTCGGGCACGCATGCATGTTGATCCAGCTTCATCGCTGGTGCACGCTATCGCTGCTGTCTCAGCAACTTCCTGCAAGCAGCTCGAGCTATGTCCAACTGAGAGACAACAGTACATATCGCAAGCAAATGCTTTTGCCAGTGGCGCCTCAGACGCCGAGCACAAGCGACGAGCGATCTCGGCTGCCTTCTGTTTCTCATCTTTGAGCCAGTACAAGTCGGCCAAACAAGCGCTGAAAACATCGTCATCAACAGCCTTCAGCACCAAAACTTCCTCGACTCTAGGCAAATCGAGAGCGCTGCGATTCAAGAACGGACCGTAACAATATGAGCTGGTCTCCGGTGGGAGCAGGAATGCCGGCGAAGGACCTGTGTGCCAACGGAGCTGCACCAGCATAAAGAAAAGGTTAAATGCAAATACAATGCCCAGCATGTAAATTGCAAGCACTGCCCTGGAAGATAACGATGGTTCAGCCTCTTGTCCAATTGTGCATCCATTCCAGCGATCAAGATTCGACAGCTCATGCACGTCACTTCCACATCTCCGAAGCTGTACGGCAGCTTGCTCAATCGAAATGCCAATCTGGGTTCGGATGATCTCTGCAAACTTCTTGCCGAGATCATTGCGTCCGGCTGCTGCTCCCCAGCCAGAACTGGGAACAAATAGAAATATTCTCGGCTATCTCGCTTGTGCTGCCAGATCCGCAGTCTCCGTCGCAGGACATCCCTCGCTGACTCACGTTTGGGCATGATCACCACCATGCGTGGAGCCTCAATGGCCAAAGTCACATCAACCCTGCAGCCGTTCAAGAAGCAAACAAACAGACATCCATCAGAAAGCTGCTGGTACACCTTGTCCACGCAGACATCTGCAGAAAAGGTGTCCGAGTCGGGTGCCTTTAAGTACGTCTTTCCCTCGTGCTGGTAACAATGGCCTGCAGCGAAGAGAAGGTTTCGCTGAAACAGCCGGCTCTTGTCAACAAAGCCTTCGATGGCTGCTCGGAGCTGAGCAGATGCCGGATCTTTCACCAGCTGATGTTCGCCCCGGATCCGTTCTCGGAATGCTTCAAAAACAGCTACTGCATCCCTGACGCAGAACTTCAAAGGACTTGCTCCAACGCTGTAGTTGTTGATCCCGATGCACAAAACGTTCCATCCGCTTTGTCGGAACATGGCGCTATCACCTGGAAGTACTACTTCCTCAATTCCTGAAACAACAGTACCTATAGGGTCATACCCTACCCCTGTTTTAAGGTACCTAGTTTTATGGTTAGGATCTGCTATATAAAAAAGTAGGTACCCTAAAAAAGGGGGAGGGTATGACCCTATAGGTAATTTGAAGCATAACCTCGCTGGTGACTGCTCCGGAGTGGGTTCTTGGCGTGCTGCATTAGCTTCTGGACACGACACACGGTTTAGCCGCGGTATGCAGCACCTTGGAGGAAAGTTCGAAGCTTGAGGACAGAAGCCTTCCGAACATTGTTTCCAGGCTGCCACGCTGGGTCAGTGGGGGCCGTGATTCTACGAGGATCATAGTGTTATACGGTTGAACCCGATGACGAGGTGTGCAAAGCAATGCCAAAGTCTTCATCGTAACAGCCCACTCATGAGATTGAAACCTAACTAAGCCTCCTGGTGGATCCGACAACGCCCCCATAAAAATCATGCTTCTTCTTGTTCGAAAAAGGCTGTTCCTGTGATCTACTCGCTGCATGCATTATGCCCACCGAACACTCGAGCTTGTATCCCAACTCACTCCCCAAAAGATCCTAAGGTCCTACTTGCTGTTACGGGGGGGATACTTTCCCAAACCAGAATCAGGATTCCTGATATAGACACCCTACATTCTACACGTCTAAACCCTAAACCCCTAAACCCTAAACCCTGCATAAACCCTAAACCCCTAAACCCCTACACCCTAAACCCCACCTTCTACCATGGAAGTAATTTTGGACGCTTTGGGGCACGAGCCAACTCGTAGACTTAGCGCCTGAGTACCCTAGCCCAAAAAAGGTTAACCTGTTGAATGGAATATAGAAGCCCCAAAAGGTTCAACGTAACCCTAAACCCTAAACCCTAAAACGCTAAATCCTAAACTCTAAACCCTAAACCCTAAAACTCTAAACCCTAAAACCTCCAACTCTAAACCCTCAACCCTAAGCCCCAAAAGGTTAAAGGTTACCTAGTCAGCCCCAAGTAGAAGCGTGCAGGGCCTGGCCCGAGATGATCGTCCAGGGGAAAGGTTGGCTGTAGAGTTCCTTGGCATTGCGTAGGGTATGGGTTTAGGGTTTAGGGTTTAGGGCCGTAGAGCTCCTTGGCATTGTGCGAGGTATGGGTTTACGGTTTAGGGCTTAGGATATGGGTTTAGGGTTTAAGGTTTAGGGTGAAGGATATGGGTTTAGGGTTTAGGGTTTAGGGCCTCGGGCTTAGGGTGCAGGGTTTAGGGTATGGGTTTAGGTGGGTTTAGGGTTTAGGGTTTAGGCTGTAGAGTTCCTTGGCATTGTATAGGGTATGGGTTTGGGGTTTAGGGTTCAGGGTTCTTATACAATGGGTATGGGTTTAGGGTTTAGGGTTTAGGGTTTAGGCTGTAGAGCTCTTTGGCATTGTGCGAGGTATGGGTTTA